GCAGTGCCGGGGGGTCCTGGGCAGCGGCCGGGACAGGCAGCTGGTGGTTCCCGCCCCGGTGCCCAGCCATCCATGCGGGGCACATCGGTGGGGAGTTCGTACCGTGTGATGCTGTAGCTCCAGTGCTACTGAATCCCTTCTTTCAGCTGGGATAGCCTTCCCGACCATCCCTGTCCGGGAAGCAGTTGTGGGAATATAGTTCTGCTTGAAATGAGTTTCTGTGTTTTAGAGTGCATGCTCTTTTGTCTGTTCTTGGTCTTAAAACTGCTGCTAGAACGAAGGGTCTGAGATCCTGTGTAAAACACAGGAACAGAAAGGGCTGAACCCGCATGGACTTCTTCCATCACTACGATTAGCCGGCTCAAACAACTGAGACTGGAGCTGTGAGACTCCTCACAGGCACCTTACACTGGATACAAAATTCCCTGACGAAAGCCTGGCTGCAAGGATGATGCTAAAGGCTCTCAGGAGGTCAAGAGCTGAGCACGCAAGATCCCCATTGAAACGAATGTGAAAACAAGGGTATTTGCTCCCGGTTGCTGCCTACTCCCAGTGTATCCCCGCATGGAGGGCCATGGATCATGACGCCCCTGAGGCGCTGTGAAGACAAGTGCACATGGAGGAGTCTATTTCTGAAGGTTTCAGACAGGGGAAGACGAGTTCCTACACTGAATCTGTCTGAAGAAGATCAAGTGAGGCATCTGCATTAGCTGGCAGGGAAATTTTCCATGGAGAATCAGAGATTAAGGAGCGGCCAGATTAAAGAGTCAGCATTTGTCAGTAGTATTCAAGCCCCTTTAAGTTCAAAGAAAACTAAAAGAAGGGTGATTAACCTGGCCGGCAACCCAGAGGTGGGATATCTGACGCAACTGAGATAAGCCCATTACCGTGTATTAGGTATAATTAGCATTCGGACGCAAGCAAAGCTCCTACCCAGCAGATTAAACCCCGGACTGAGCAGAAATGCTGTCAGGGGCAATTAGGTAACACCTCGTCAGAGGAGGGGGCAGAGGAAGCGCGTGGAAGAACATCTTGTTCCTCCGCAGCCTTTGCATCCAGAGCCACCAGCTCTGGCCCAGGAGCTGCATCCCAGCGCCGGCGGCAGCGGAAGAGCGCCGGCAGCCCAGGGAGCCCTGGGAGGAGGCAGCGCAGCACCGGCAGAGATCTAGAGGAGGAGACTCGGTCTCGTCAAGCCATCTGTTTGGTGTGGTACCAAGGAGTATCCAAGTACCCAGGTACGGGGAGGCGAAAGGCTGGGAAATTCCCCTGGGAAGCTGCTGTGGGCATTTCTTTCACATCTATGATGCTGGGGTGCCTGCCCACGCGTGTCTGGCTGTGTGCAGGGGCAGCCGGTTCCCCAGGCGTGGGCAGCGGGGCAGGTCCCGTGCTGCGGGGCAGGAACGGAGACATCTCTGCCTGCCTGGGATGGCAAGCGAGTCCCACCAGCTCAAGGGTGGGAGGGCAGCTCGATTCCTGATGCAAGGTGGAGACTGTTCTGTGGCATTCAGGTTGCTTTCCATCCTCTGCCACTTCTTCTGGTGATGCCTGGAGAGAACAGGTAGAGGGAGGTTGGTAAGGAAGAAGTTAGAATTGTCCCTTTTAGTTTCCTTGAGTGCTCTTTCTTGAATTCATGCAAGTGAGAGAGGGGATGAAGTGTGATTTGGGCAGGTCCTTTTTCCTACCAAATCCCAGGTTAGCGAGTAGCTGGTCGGTGGATACAACTCCTTCAGACCGGGGGAAAAGGAAACTGCAAGGACTGAGCCTTCCCATTAGCTATTTCCCTACTGAGTGAAGGCCAAGGACAAGGCATGGACTCCAGGAACTCAGTTGAGTTGACCCTCAAAGACGTTTTCGTGGATAAGGCACCACACTGACAGACAGCAGGCGTTGGTGAAGCGGGGCAGGAACTCACTTGGAGAGGGAGCACAAATGCATCTTACAAGTTTTGGATGCCAGTCCAAAGGGTTGGAAATCTGTTAGCCGGTTTGTTTGTTCCGTTGTACTTTTGGGAGTAGCCCTTGAGAGGGGTGCCAAGTACCTTGGCATGTCAGATGAACATGGTGCTCAGAAGCGGAGGTGTCTCTCTAGTTCAGGAGGGGTATCTAGCACTGAGACAGACACCCTGCGGATGAGAACTGCACCTGAAGCAGAGGCATAACACCATACTTTGGGGCATTAACAGACACGCCACGGAACAGTTTTCCCATGCAAAGCATTTTGTGGTAGGGCAGTACCACCTGAATTCCTCACTGGTCCTAAGGGACGGTGAGGCACCAAATTCTGTCTTTGGTTTGGAGCCAAACTGCCTTCACCTCTCAGCCTGGCCCTAAAAAACTGAGTCAAAAGATTTTGTCCCTCCACCCAGCAGAGCAGGCCAGGTCACGCCGATCACTGCATCTCCGTCCCCATTCTGTAAAAGACGAAGGTGACCGTGTTTGCCTGTCCTGCCGCCCCGCCGTGAGGATAAAGCTGTAAATACTGGGCGATTGTGCAGGTGCTGCAGAGATGGCAGCCAAAGAAGTAACTGCTGTGATTTGAGCTGATCCCTGTGTTTGTGGGCACAGTGTGTGCTTAGGAAGCGTTGTGCTACAGGCGGGGGAATGGCATCTGTGCATACTTCAGCTGCAGACACAACCATCTGCTGCTCCATTTGGGGCTGCTGGAACCCATCCAGTCTCCTGCTTGGGATATTACAGCTGAGACAGGAGCCCGACCGCAAGCGACAGCAGAAGTAGCACGCCTCTAGGTGCTATCATTAGGATCCCTCGTACTGCCGACACAGATGGAACGATGTCAGGGGTGAAGTATTCCCAGACTGCCACAGATACAGAATCACGGCTCTTTGCCTTGCACTGATGTGGAAGTGACAAAGGAGGATTGCTTGGATGGTCTTCCTCCTTGCATCTCAGGCTTTGCTTTCCGGCACTCGGGCTATTTCAAGAACCGTCTTCAGACTAAAAAAAAAAAAACAACATCTTTGATGGCATTTATAGTTCTGAGATTAAAGGTCTGGAGTGTCACTGCAGGTGATGTTGGGGATTAGGCCAGAGTGCTATGGTGACATAATGGGATTAGCCTTTAGTACCAAATCCTGAAGTTAATTCCATCAGCGATTCCATCAGCCTGGCTGCACGGGGACGAACACCTGGAAGCAGGAGTTAGGTAATGGTCACGGGAAAGAATGTGACTTCAAGGAGGGGACAAAAAAAAGGCATTTATTTTTGTCCATAAATGCACTTGTCCAGACCGTTCTAGCATACCAATTAGCACAGAGTTTGATGAAGGGCTGGAAGGTCCCCCTTGGGCACTGGTGAGGGTTACTGCTGTCCTCGCTGGGAAGGAAGCAAAGGGCTGTGGGTGCAGCAGTTGTGCCCTCTGAGGCAGGAGAGATGTCTCCCACCCAAGAATTGCTCCCTGACAGCTGTTTTGCCCCTGTGAAGTGGAGCTCGGCTTGAGTGCAGTGTGGTGCAGAAGAGGTCAGCGCATATAATATAATGCTTAAAGATACCAAAATGGACATATCCAGGGGAAAGTCACAGGCTCTGCTCTCCTAAACCCTGAGAAATTAACTTCTGCCTAAAAGCCAGTCTCCAATGCTTTGCCTTAGCTTTCTTTACAATCTTTCAAAGATCCTGTGCCACTTCCCATAAGTTTGGTATTGACAAACATGAGGCCCTAACTGCAGCTCCGCCCAGGCCAAGGGCCCATCTAGCTCAGCATCCCACCTCCCTCAGTGTCCACAAGGTAATGCTGAGGCACAAGTACAAGGGCGGATGAAGTACATCACGATGATCCCCAAGGACAGGATATTTCCCTAAGCCCTAAGTGTGTCTTTGTGGCTTCTAGCAGTCGTGTCCTGAACCAGTACTGCTGTTCCAAGGCTAACTAAAAACCAAACAACATTGGCGTTGACCTTTCTGTTTTACCCAAACTGTGGGGCAAGCCGCTACAGCAACCCGTCTCCAAGAGTCCAGCTATGTCCGAGACAAAAGAAGGTATGACTGACTCTCCGTGACCGCAAGCCATTGCACTATGGGGTTAAGTGTCTTATTGTCCTTAGCTCAAGTGTCCTTTGCTCGGCATCTTAATTCTAGCACGCCGGATGAAAGGCAGTGCTCTCCTGCTTACTTTGTATGCATTACAATCTTTATTCAGGTTTAATACCTTTATCTTTAATCCTTGCACAATTATATTTTCCGTAATTCTGTCACCTGACCACTGATACCTAGAAAAGATAAGCAGAGTGCTGCAGCAGTCCTTGCTGTTATCTTTTGCAGACAGAGGGACCTGAGAGGCGTGCGCCCGCCGCACAGAGCAGCCCAGCGATGAGTGAGAACCCAACCACCAACCTCAACCCTGGAGATGCTCCAACTGGGCCCACCACACCACGCAAGGGGCCGCCCAAGTTCAAGCAGAGACAGACAAGGCAGTTCAAGAGCAAGCCCCCTAAAAAAGGAGTAAAAGGGTAAGGGCACTTTGGAAAGAAAAGAAACCGTGCTAGCCGTTGGCTCCCCACTCCTGCAGTGCCATCGTCCCCCCGGCAAGGAGCCAGGAGGCTTCCCCTTGCCCGCTGGTGCCATCAGCTCTCCCCCCTGGAGCTGCTTCTCTTCACCCGCTGCCCACCTGCGATTCCCCTTCCCTGGCTGGGGGTGCAGGGCAGCTCCCCCTTCCCGGGGGGCTGCTGGCCCAACCACCCCCCCTCACC